ATTTTTTAAATTTTAATTTAATAATTAATAAAATCCATCATATTTCATTTATAATATTTTAAAAAAATAAATAACTAAATACCAAAATAACTTTCAATCACAGTTATAGTACAATACAATCTATCACAACCATGACACTAGCACTTCATAGCAATCCCAAATGCACAAAAAAAAAAAAAAAAGTGATTCTACAATAGAAGTTGTGCAGCTTTGCAGATTTGCGTAAAATAACAATCCATCCACAAGCAGAAGTCAATTAAGATGTCCACATCATCACAGAGCCTCCCTTTCCGGGCTCCTGGGTTCCAACATTTTGAATTCAATCGTAAAACCAAACCTGTTCGCATAAAATGCTCTTCAAATGTCTCTAATTATTTCATTTCATCAGTTTCAAATGCCAACAGGTTACCATAACAATGAATCAATAGCAGAAGAATTACACATCACTCTCATGAAGACAAGTTGACCTGTATTTACAAATCAATAAATACATGTGACCATCTGCACGGGTATAATGTGTGTTAAGAACAGAGAATCCAACATGGTAAACGGGTAAATAAAGACAAACATGGATGAGATAAATAACACTTTTAATTGAATATGATTCAGTTGTGTACCAAAACAAAGACATTATTACAAAGAAACAGTACGTCTGTAAAGTACTTCCTCATCACTCTCGTCTTCCTCCTCATCTGACTCAATCTCGTTCCCTGGTAGCTCAAGCTTCCCACCATACAGAATGATGGACCTAAACTTTCTGATTCAATATAATTACCCTGCAATCTCTCTTCAAATCTTTGATCACTACAGTTGAGGAACCAACTCAACGAGCTCCTAATTCCCTTCCTTTGTAATTTCTGGTACGTCGGTTTGATCCTTGGTTCCAAGCTATATGTAAAATATTCTGGGAACTCCACAAGCTCTTTCAATGGCCTTCTCATCTCGCTCTTGAAAAAGTAATAGCTGTTCTTCATGCACTCAACTCGCAATGCAACCAACTGTGGACATTTCACAACCATCTTGGCAACATCCTCAGAAGACATTCCCCACTCCAAAAGAAACTCCACTGGCTTCAAAATAACATGTTGATTAAGGCTAACAATCTGTGGCATCTTCTCAATCACACGAGCAAACCCTTCTAGATCAATCTTGAGCTTCAAATTAAAGAAATACTGTTGGGAAGATAACTTAGCTTTCGAAGGTAACACAAGAATTTGTGGAAACTGAGCTATAGCTGAGGCAAGGAATTCCGTCCTTATTCCAAAGCTAATCAAACAATCAATATTAGGTTTAACAGTTTCTTGAAGATTATAGCCAAGTATATAGGCCCGCTTCGCCAACATCCTAGCCAAGATCTTCTTCCGTAGTCCCAGAGAAACCAAATAATCAACAAGTGGCTTAATCATAGTCCCAACTCTCATCCCCAAGAAATAGGGATACTGTGTCACCATAGGAACAATATCTCTTGGATTCACACCAATGCTCACTAAATGAGCAACTGAAGTACTCATTGTTCCTTCAAGCTTAAACCCTAAAAGCTCAGGATACTTCTGTAAAACATATCCAATATCCTGCTTCTCCACATCAAGTCCACGAAGAAACTAAACAACAGGAGCAACCTCAACAATGACACTTGCATGCAAAACTTGTGGGTAGTTCTTCACAAACTCACCTAAATTCGACCTAGCAATTCCAATTTTCTAACACTGGTATAATGTTTTTACGCACACTGCAACCTAGCATTCGATGGATACTCATTAATATCATCAATGGTCAAAAGCCCAATTTCTGCAAAAACTCCACACGCTCACTCATAACCTCAATAGTAGAAGGCAACTCCAAACTCTCTAATTCATTAGGAATTATCCCCAAGCTCTTAAGATAATCACAGATTTTAACCCGATTAACCAGCTTCTCTTTCTTGCCCTGAACAGCACCCCATGTAACCGAGGGCATCTGATACTCAGGGAACTTACTGGACTGATTTGAAAATGGAGAAACCCCGAAAACCCCAAATGGGTTCTGTGATCGGGGATTCGAAGCACATGGGTTTTGCAAGGTTTGGGATTTCATCCAAAAATAATGCCAAGAACCCGTCCTTTTGATGATATTCCAGAGTTTTTGCCTCCTGAAAAGCATTGCGTCGATTTCTATATAAAAAATCCCCAATCCAGAATGACTCGACGAAGCAAATTTCAATAAAAGGGCTAAGAAACAAAACTTGTACTCTTTCCTTATGATGCTAAGGGGCGTAGCTCGCTTTGCAGGCGATGACTAAGCGAACGGAAGAGACGCTTTTGCTCTGCAGAGTGAAGCGCGAGTGAATGAGTCCCGGACGGCGAAGGGGCAGAAAGGCAAGCACACTCCGGTTCGGTTGTTTGTCAAGTTAGATTCCGGTTAGGTCGAATTAGGCATTTTTTATCCAAGCCCAGGACCTTTAGCCTGGGCCAATTTTGGGCATTGGGCTCTCTTTTTCTTTTCTTTTTTTTTTTTTTTCTTTTTTTCTTTTATTCTATTCTTCCCTAAGAAAAAAATGCGGAAAGTACAATGATAATTTTTTAACAAAAAAATTACAGCAAAATTAGGATCTTCTAGTAATTAAAATATCAAATTTTTTAATAAAATTATTTGAATATTTTTAATGAATCAATATATAATAATAATTTATTAAAAATATTTAAATAATTTCACATGAAATTATGATATTTTAAATGTAAGGAAGTCTTGATTTTTATTTTTCAAAAAAAAAAATTGTTATTGCATAATTGAAACCATTAAATAGATCTGTCTCTTAATATTGGAGATGTCTCCTTTATTTAACAATTTTTGTTTTACAATCTAAACTGTGAAATAAAAACTCAATTTTTAATACATTATTATTTGTTTATATGGCAGTAAATAGAATTTAAACTTGTCATCTTAGCTTAATTTGCATCACTTAACCCTTTATCATTTTACAATTCTAGCGGATTTTTTTTTTAATATATTTATAAGGTTGGATGGAAAAGAGAGAGTCGAACTCCCAACCTAATAGCAACAAAGGGCTTAAGTAATTATTATCGATTAAATGACTACTAATAGTTCAATCCAGCGGATTTGAGTAACCATTACATCATGTAAATGATATAACATTGTTCATTATCTCCTAGATGTGGTAATGAGATAGAAAGATACGTAATGTCTAATTTGTTGCTGGTGATGAAAGAAGGGATGGTTTCATGGGAGCATTAAAAGAAGACAAGTCTTTGCTGTAGAAATTAAAAGGGCAGAGGGTAAATGGTGCAGACTGCTGAGGGCCTTCACGTTCATGGCAGGCCTTCTTCAATTGACACTTGACGTATCACATCTATCTACGAATCTCATCCTCTCAAGTGTCTGCACTCGTGACGAACCCATTAAATCAGCTTATGACCACTTTTCCATGTACCTAGTTTTCAAATTTGTCTTCTATACCCATAGATTTAGTATATAGTGAGATCTTTTGTAAATCTATTGAATTTAAGTATTTCTGCATAACATTTATATACACCTTTCGTTTCCCTCCCAGTCCTACAGAGTTTGAAAGTTGAAATTTCATTTTCCAGCTGGTTTCGAATTCGGATTCGCAGTAACTATCTCCATGTTTTGAAGATTTTTGAGCAATGTCTCTGTGCGTGGAACTCTTTCTCTTGCTATACCAGGAGTTTGATTTACAACTATTGGTAATTAAAAAAATATTGTTTTGTGAATTAAGTTTAAAATTTAAAAATTGAAACTAGTATTAAAAAAATTTAGTTAATTTTTTTGAATACACTAAATTATGTAAGGGTCTGCCTTAAGTTTGATTGCAAAACAATTTTGAAATACACAAAAACTAATTTAAAGATATTCTTACTATAAATATCAAAAAGAAAAAAAAACTTTGTATTGCCTTTAATTCCATTTTTGTTGACAATTTTTTAAGGGTTTTTTTTTTTTAATCCTCTTAAGGACAATGAGGAATTGGACCCAATTATTGGAATTGAGTACGGTGTACATAACATTGAGTCAATATCATGGTATAGATATAATCACTTTAGTATTACAAAATTTGAAAAACTGATGGTATATTTAGGTTGAAAAAAATGGAAAGAAATGAAAAAATTTTATCTATTTTGGTTATCAAAAGAATTGAAAGAGAGGAGGGGGGAAAATGTTTTTTTTTTTCTTTTATTTTTTTAATTTACTTACTTATTTAAATGAGAAAAAATGAAAGGAGATGACATTTCCCTTCATTTCTCTCCGTCTAAACATGTGATTAAAGAAATCTAGTTTTTGAGGGAGTCAAACCCATAAACCTCACAATTCTAGAGTCTCAATCTCTAAATCCTCAACCATTGAACTTGAGGTCTCATTAGCACTAATCATAATATTGCGAATAAGATGGATTTTATACACAATTTATTTTATGTGCCGCCCAAATCGCACAACTTACAACCCAACCCCTCTAATATTGGAAACTATACTTATCTGCCGGTTCTAAATTTACATACACATATATATAGGAAAACTAATGATTCAAACTACATGATATATTGATTTTAGTATTAATTAAAAGAGTATAGATTTATTTACAAATAAATTTTACACACTATATTTATATAAAATCTTAACTATTTATTTTTTAACTTTCAATTATTTAGATTTATTATAACTTTTAAAATAAAATTAATAATTATCTTTAATAAATATAATAAAAAGTAAATAAATCTTAATCATTAAGACTTGTGTGAGTAAAAAAATAAATAATTAAAATTTTATATAAATATAATATATAAAACTTATATATAAATGTAATAATTAGAGATTTCATATTTAAATCCAAAAATTGATTAACGAACGAATAGAGGCTTGTACTCATGTATTCTTTAACCAACGAATAAAAGTGGTTGGCAAGATCTCGATCAGCAGCGTAGAGTACCGATATCTTGAGAGTACTACTTGTGGAAGACTTACGAAAACATGTGAATCCCTCGAAAAGATTGCCGTGTATCATGTGAATTGTGAAGTACCTCCATCCTTTAAAACCATCCCTAGTTTCCATCTTCCACCTCTATATATAGACATTACACATATCCTTATGATCATATTAATTCCCACCTCTCCACCTTTGTTTGCCAATCACTTGCATATGCTTTCTAATGAAATATATCTCATCAAGCTTCTGATCAATTCTGCATAGCTAGAGAGCTTCTCTGCTTCTACAACACTATAATTAATAAGGAAACATGAAGAACTACTCATCACTGGTACTCCGCCGGGTTTTGCTTCTTATGATGATCTTTCTTGTTGCTGAGAGCCTTCGCGTGTCGCCTCAGTACCAATGTAAGACCTTTTCCTCTATAGTGATATGCATTGATAAAATTCTATATTAATCTTCTTCAACAATGTTGTTTTTTCGGTTGGCCTTAAGGGGAGAAGCATGGAACCTGGAGATCCAGTACGGTCCCAAGGAAGGAAGAAAGGAAGAGGTGGTAGGGAGGAAGCTGTACGCAACACGAACAGGGTCGAGCTTGCCAGATTGTTCCCATGCCTGTGGTCCATGCTTCCCTTGCAAGAGGGTGATGGTGAGCTTCAAATGCTCCACGGAGTCTTGTCCAATTGTTTATAGGTGCATGTGTAAAGGGAAACACTACCATGTACTTTCTAATTAATTTCCACGGAGATGATTATATATTTAGTCTAGTCATGAGCTTAGCTTAATCAGTCTGTAATCTTTTTGAACAGAAGATTTCCAAGGGAAAAATAGTTTGTAAATGGTGGCACTGATGAGGTTTTGGTAGTTTTATTTGTGTTTCTTTTTCTGTAGCATTCAGGTCTTTTCAACTAGTAACTGGTAGAATTTTTGTTGTGTCTTAAAGGCTGATTGGGACCGACCCGTAGATGAGCGTTTATTTACTTCTATCATAAGGGTAATTTTTTAATTAATTAATTAATTATTTATTTATTTATTTTTAAAATTAATATTACGAGGGTGAGTTTTTGAGGATGAAATCATGAATTTTATTTAATGATTAATTAATTAATTAAAATGGAACCTTTTGTAAAGTAATCGACCAAATTAGGATGTTAGGATCAAACACTCATTCTCTCTCCTCACTTTTTTATATTAATTTGATAAGTTTTTCAGTTTGTTAACTTATAGCATAGAAAAAAAAAAGAAAGAAAAAAAGATGAAGAAAATATCTTTTGATGGATGACATGCAAGATGAAACTCATATCTTGACGTTAGCCCCACATTCTTTCGCGATGGATTTTAGTACTTTAATATTTTAACTAATTATTAACCATTTAAATAATTTTATAAAATTTTTTTTATTAAAAATAAAAATTTTGAATTTAAATCATCTCTTAAATTAAATTAAAAGATAAAATATAATTATTTTTTGTTATGTAATTTATAATAATAATAAGAAGAAGAAAAAGGGACAGAATAATTGCTTCATGCAGCAATGACCCGAAATTTCAGGTTTGAAATGCCAATGAAAATCTTCAAAAGACTCCATTATTATTTACTGACCATCTTCTCTCTGTGAAATGAGGATGAGGCGAGGGCCGAGCCTCCTTATTTATTCAACTGGCATGTACCGTACAATTTCTACAGCGGAGACTGTTGGAGAGGGAGATCATACAATTTCTACAGCAAGCCTTTACGTTGTTCTCCGTCTTCATTTTTACCAAACATTTTGGGCCTTTTGTATCTCTTTCTTTTAGGAGGCTATAAGAATAAGTCCGAGATCCTTAATCTCGAACGTACTGTAACAATTCCTCGATAGTCGAAGTGAAGTTAAGCCCAGCATTTCTAATCAAACGGCTGCACGATAAATATAGAGGGCATACCCACACCTGATTTATTACATAACTCTCCAATCCCGAATTTATAACCGGTCATGAGTTTATCTCCTTAAGGGACATGTCACACTCCGATTATCTTGCTTGGTATGCCACGTGAGTTCCTCACTGAAGTCTATAAATACCCCCCAGGGGCCATGTCAAAAAAGGTAATTGTAACCATCCTAAAGCTCCTTTTTCATTAGCCCAGAGATAAACCCGATTATTGCTGACTTAAGCATCGGAGTGTCTATCCCGAGGATCCACCTTGGGGCTTTGCAAGTTCATCTGAAGTGAAGACGCAGATTGAAGAAGGATCTCTGGTTTGGTGTAACTACATTTGACACCGTCTGTGGGAATCCGAACTGAAAGCTTTCTTGTTGCTCTTTCATCATGGTTAACACTCGATCAGTCCGAGCTGGAAATCCATCTCTGCCTCTTGGACAAGGTCAACTCCCCAACAACCTCCCACCTCATCTTCCACCTCCGATCCCAAATATGTTCCCTCATGTTGATCATGTAGAAAGAGGAGATGAAAACCAACCTCATAACTCAGCTCACAACTCAACTTCCACCGCCAACCAAGACGTAGTTGCAGCTCAGCTTGTTGCCATGCAACAACAGTTTGGTGTTTTTCAGCTAGTACTGGCTCAGCTTTTAGCTCGAAACAACCCTGGTGATCCCCTCATTAATTTACTCAACCCTACTTAACAACCCCCAGCTCCACAACAAAACCCTCAACCAGTTCAGCATGCTCTTGCTCTTAGTGAATCTCAGGGTTAATCTCACATAGGGTTAATCTCACATAGCTCCAGCTCAACAACCCCTCCCTGATGAGGTCACTCGACGTCTAGACAGTTTAGAAAAGTTGGTAGCTGAACAGCGAGGTGCCCCACCTCCACACCATACTGCTGACTCTATACCTCACCCTCTGAACACCAACATCACACTAGAACCTTATCCCGCTAGCTTCAAAATACCTCAACTTGAGACTTATGATAGGACGAAGGATCCCGATGATCACCTGCATGCTTTCTACTCTTACATGCAAGCTCAAAATGCCTCTGACGCGTTGATGTGCAAAATCTTTCCCTCTACTCTCCGAGGTAATGCTCGAACTTGGTATTACAGTCTACCTCTGAGGTTAATCAGCTCTTATACAGAAATGGTATTTGCTTTTGCCACTAAATTTTCCAATAGAAGGTTGATCAGGAAAACTACTGAGTTGATGCGAGTTAAACAGAGGGACGGAGAATCTCTGAAGAATTACATGAGCAGGTTTAATGATAAAGTACTGGAGGTTAGTTCCTTCGACCAAGCTATGGGGATTGCAGTTGTGATCTCAGGTCTTAACCATGATAGGTTCAGAGATAGTTTGATCAAACACCCTGCCACCACCTTTAGCAAGGTGAATGATAGGTTTCTGAAATTTATAACTGCTGAGGAATATGCCTTGGCACAGAACCCAACTCCCTCCAAGAACCAAAACCCAAACTAGAGAGATGAGAATTCGAGCAGGAAAAAGAGAAGGATGGCACAGAACCGAGGTCCGATGCCGACCTCTACATCGAGATTCGAAAGGCCGAACTCAATAGCCCCACAACAATTTGTAGGTAAACCACTAGTTAATTAGACTCCTTTTAATTTGCCGAGGTCATAGATTTTCATGTAGATTAAGAACAAGATGGATTTAAGGCGTCCTGGCCCAATGAGAACTGCTGCCGCTAGCCAAGATCATACTGGATATTGTGATTTTCATCAAAATCATGGTCATACAACAGAGCAATGCAACAGCTTAAGGTTTGAACTGGAAAGTCTAGCTCAGAAGGGAATGTTGAATGAGTACATTCAGAGAGCTGAACACCCGAGATTTGTCAGAGAACAGAGGCCACAGCCTCAAGGAGTCCGCAATCCACCAAACAGGCAAGGCGTGGGATATTAGCAAGCCCTACCTCCGTTCCCACCACCAGCTAGAATCATACACATGATTACGGGAGGCCTGGAAGCAGGTGGACTGAGCTCTAAACAGCGAAAGTTGTATGTCAGAAAGGTTAAGCATCAAAACCAAGCTTAGAAACGGAAGCTTGACGATGCTGACTAGAAGAATCAACCCATTACTTTCACATCTGCTAATTTTGACACAGTTGTTACACCCCACAATGATCCTTTGGTCACTTCTATCATGATTAACAACTGTGAAGTACAACATGTCCTTATTGACACTGGGCATGCACCAAACATCATGTACTTCCACTGTTTTGAGAGTCTTGGACTAGATCCAGCATTGTTGCAGAGATATGATGGTCCCATCTATGGTTTCAACAACCAGCCAATTCAGGTAGAAGGGGTTCTCACCCTCCATATTGCTTTTGGGAGTGGCCGAACCTATGTGACTCCTTCAGTCCTGTTTCTAGTAGTCAAGATGGCATCCTCTTTCAATGTTGTTATTGGCCGACCCACACTGACCGAAATTTGAGCTGTGGTTTCCCAGTCTCACCTATGCATGAAGTTCCCAACTCCTATGGGAATAGCAACACTACGAGGCAATCAGGAGGTGGCTAGACATTGCTATATCACCTTGGTCACACGACCTAAGAAGGACAAAGATCAAACACCCGAGGCCATCCCCTAACGGATTCCTGATAATCAGCAAGTCATGGGTGTTGAAATAGTAGATAATCGACCGAAAGATGAAACCAGAGCTGCTCCAGTTGAAGATGTCGAAGAAGTGTTCATTAATGATAGAGATCCGAGCCGAAAGATGCAAATTGGAACTAGATTGCATGCACCCAGAGGAAAAAGCAGAGCTAATAGCTTTTCTCCGCGCTAACAACGATGTCTTCGCGTGGACTTCGGTAGACATGCCAGGAATTCCACCTTCGGTATCCCAACATAAGCTCAGCAGCAATCCATTGAAGAAACCAGTGGCCCAGAAGCGACGTCTCTTTGGGGAGGAGAGGCTTCAGGTTATAAAAGAAGAGGTAGAGAAGCTTCTACAAGCTGGTTTTGTCAAAAAAGTTGATTATTGCGAATGGGTGGCTAACCCAATGCTGGTAAAAAAGGCAAATGGTAAATGGCGAATGTGCATCGATTACACAAATTTTAACCAAGCCTGCCCCAAGGATTGCTATCTGATGCCGAGCATTGACAAACTGGTTGAAGTGGCTTCAGGAAACGAGAGATTAAGTCTCTTGGATGCATATTCTGGGTATCACCAGGTGCCGATGGCACCAGAAGATGAAGAGAAAACCTTGTTCTATGCTGGTGACGAAATTTATTGCTATGTCATGATGCCGTTTGGCTTAAAAAACGCAGGTGCTACTTACCAGAAAATGGTGACCATTGTCTTCCAAACTCAGATCGGTAGGAATCTAGAGGTTTATGTCGATGAAATTGTGGTAAAGAGCCTGAAAGCAGAAGACCATCTAGCTGACCTCAATGAAACTTTCAACAATCTCAAGAAGAACAGAATGCGGTTAAACCCAACCAAATGCATCTTCGGCGTGGAGTTTGGAAAATTTCTAGGTTTCATGGTTTTCCAAAGAGGAATTTAGGTCAATCCAGAGAAGATCAGAGCAATTGCCAAGATGGAACTGCCGAAATCAGTGAAAGATATATAGAGGTTGATTGGAAGGGTGGCAGCTCTTCATCGGTTCATATCGAAGTCAGTAGATAAATGCCTGCCATTTTTCAAGATTATGAGGTCAGCCGCCCAAAAGGATGAATCGGGTAAACAGAAGAAATTTGAATGGAATCAAGAATGCCAAGCCGCATTCGAAGAGCTGAAGTCTTATCTTAGCTCACCACCTCTCCATGAACTCTTGGGCTAGACCATTCACCCAGCTAGTGCTTTGCAATTCAAGCAGAAGTTAAAAAAAAAAAAAGAAGAAAAAAAAAAAAAAACAAACACACCAACAACTACAAGTACATAAACTTAACATACCTCCAAAACGTGCTTCACCACCGAAGCCCCACAATACCTCAGAGCCTCGTCCCGTGCGTGATGCTTGTCCACTTCGGGGAAGGTGGAATTGATAAACCTCCTTGCCCCTGTCATGTTCACCTTGAACAGGCTGCTCTGACACGACAACAAGGGAACAAGGCCCTTTCCCTTACCAGGAGCTCGTACCTCCGCCCCCTCCTCCAACTGTCTTAGCTTAGGGTCGAGCTAAACAGGAGAAGGCCAAGGTACAAACTGGGGAACCTCGCTCCCCCTCTCCTCCTCCTCCACCACCTTTTTCTTCTTTTGTAGTGCCCCTCTTTCCTCCCTACTCTTCTTCTTCAACTCCAACCGTGGCTCTTCCTCCTCCTCCACCTCGGCTGAAATGCTGGGCACTACCTCTTTCCCAACTTCTTCCTCATCCACTTGCTTGGTTAAAGTCTTTGACTTCTTCCTTGGCTTCTTGGGGATGGCCGTTCCTCCTGCAGTGCCCAAAAATTTATCCATTTCAACTGCAAAACAAGAAAACACAGTACCAATCACACCACTCTATACTCTACATTAAACACTACAATGCAAATTAAACAAACCTTCACTTAAAGCGCTTGGCCCATAGAGCTCAGTAGCTTCTATGCATTCTGCGCTGGTGAGGTCCATGATGTTCAATAAATTTCCCCCCTTCCTTATCAACTTCCCCACCTCTTCCTCCTCATCCTCATTTAAACTAAACTTATTCTGGTTGGCTCTCTTAGCCTTCTAGGAAGACAACATTTCTACCTTGGCGTCCCCCCTCTCCCACTCTGTATCATCTACAAAGAAAAATTTTTCCTTCCATCCTTTAATGGATGAAGGACCCAGAATAAATAACGCCCTACTCTCCCTATTTGCTACACTAGGGGTGAAATAGTACCACCCCTTATCTTTCCTACTACCCCATTTAAAACAAAAACATACTTAAACATATTCACGATTGGCACATTAATCCCTTGAGCTCGGCAATAAACTAAAAATCCTATTATTACCCTCATAATGTTAGGGACTAACTTTGTCAACCCTATACTATAATCTAACAACAGACCTACTAACAACTCAGGAATTGGAAACCTAAGCCTGGCTGCCAAATAGTGGGCATACACGGGCATCCAATGATCCCAAGGAGCAGAACACGTCCTCTCATCTACCCCAGCTGGCCTAATTAACACTCGGGATGAGATCTCATAACTCTCCACCAAATATCCCAGGCTATCCCTTGTCCCGAGCTAAGACTTATACTGCTTCACCTCCTCCACTATATCTGCATCTACATCGTAACACCTCCCTCCCCTACCCTCCACTTCTACCACAATGATAGGTACACTATCTCCTCCACTCCCAACTATCTCCCCTCCTCCCACTCCCTCCCCTCTTACCACTCCCTCACCTCCTCCCATCCTTTCCACCGTCCTCTCCGAACTAGATGGACTGCTCTCTAAGTCCATTCCACCATACTCCAGAGGCATTACCTCACTTCCTACCACACTTACTGTTTCTTCCGAAGACATCTTTCAATTTCTGCACGAAGTAGAGGGAGAAGTGAAGTTAGGACCCCTTAAAAAATTATAAAAAAGAAAAAAGAAAAAAGAAGAACAACTCTTTAACAGTCACTCAAAATCATTCTCACTCCCAACCCTAACTTCCTTCCGAAGACCCCAAATCAAACACAGAAAGGGAGAAAGGTGAGTACATTTTGATTCAATCAAAATTAGAGATTCATATACATTACCTGATTTCGGTTTTGAAAACTTGATGTAGAAATCCCCAAATGATGCATTAGTTTACGCGCAAGAAGCACACAGTAAATCTTTTTACAGAAATTTTGCAGAAAATACAGAAAGTAAACTTCTTTCTACAGAAAATTGACTATTTATACCTCCAGGAAAAATTAGATCTCAATGGCTGAGATTCGTTTAATCTTATGGTCTTTATTCACGCCATTTCGGATTCAACTATGTAACCCTAACGAAGCTGTTTGAATTTGACGGTTCGTTTCCTAATTCCGTTTGTTTGACTATCATGGTTACTTTTTTCAGCCCATATTAATTGTACACATTTTTTGACAGATAGCTATCACGTGGAAGGTGATCATTTCTTATCATTTATCTCACTCTACTCGCATGGTATGCAGTTCAAATTCAAGATTTTTTACTTTCAGTAGAAAGAAATGACCACTAAATTACTTACGTTATTGACACATTAACATATATTTAAAATAACATAATAAAAAGTTTGGATTTCAAAAATCATAATAACTATCCTCTTAAAATCTTTTTATAATTATTATAATAATTATTGTTATTATTTTGAGATTTATATCACCTCATGATAAGGTGAAAAGTTCAAATCACTCGATTGAAAAGTACTTGAGATTCAAATTTTGGGAGAAACATAAATTAGTAATGAGTATAGTAAATATATATATATACATATCTCAAAGTTGTATAACCACTAATTCTTTTTTTTTTTTTTTTTTTTGAGCAAGGACAATTATAGGAGGTAAGGAGAAATGGGAAATGGGTCAACTCATGGGTTGGGAGAAGCACCAATGGGCCGTAGGTTAAGTGCAATTATTCAAGTAATTGGTGAAATTCGAACTTTGACCAACTCAACTCATGTATTAAGACTTGGGACGAACCATTAAACCTAAAGAGTCGGTTCATATAACCACTAATTCTCATTCAATATTGTTTGGACAACATCATGAGGTCGAGTACTATTGAGTTTTTAAACTATTCTGATACTTGAAAATTCAGAGAAAATGTTCTCAAGAGAAAACACTATAATACTCAAGTTAATAATATTCAATTATTTTAAAAAGAGAAGCTCTCAAAAACTACCAAAACTAAAAATTATAAAGAGAGAAATGCAATAAAATTATCACTCTTAATAAAGATAAGAAAATAATTTTTATAATCCTTATTTATGACACTAATGCTGCATGATATTGTCCGATTAGCTCACGTATCATTGTCCACGTGGGTATATTTCCACAGCTCACCTATCTTTGGGTTTTAATTGGACCTTTAGCCAATAAAAAACCGACCTCCCAACAAAAATATAATGATATATATATATATATATATATTAACCTCGAAACTCTAAGATATACAAAAGCAGAAATGACAGTGAATTATTTTTGTCCCTCTACAGAAAATTAATCTTTTATTTGTTGGGTTCTAAGTTCTTGGGTGTCTTTTTGTTTTTGTGCTTTTATCCACCATTTTTTTCTCATTTATGGAAATAAAAATTTACGTTGGAAGTTTCTATGTTTAGACTTAGGCTCACATTCTATACTCTTTGTGGGCCTAAAAATTTAAAACCATGTCAATACATCTATGTGGGCCTAAAAAATTTAAACCATAATGATGCTGGATTGGGGCCTTTTTGGAGACTAGTTTATTTATTGGAACTTTGAGTTTTCTTCTTTTTTCTTTTTTTTTTTCTTTTTTTTTTTTTTTGAGAGACAGAATTTCATTTAGGAAAAAAAAAAAACATAAAATATCAAAGAGGTAAGATAATCTATCCAAATGACTTTACACTAGTGGTAGGTTTGGCAGTTATCTCCTTGCATGCCTTTGAAAATTATAGAGGTGTTGAATTTGAATTATAATGTTCAATAATTTTTTTTTTTTTAAGTCATAAGAATACCCCTCTAGGAGGTGAGAAATGAAAGTGGATTGTGTTCTCTCTAACCAAACTAACAGAGATTGTGATAGGAATCAAAATTCTTGATTATACAACCTAATATTTTTAATTTAGATTGACAAATTTTTTACCTAAAATTATAAATAAAAAGTGGTTTAAAAATATAGTCTAATTGCAAGAAATTAAATAATTTAATGATAATCTTCTTCTTATGGAAATAAGAGGTTCTGAGTTTGATTCACATAATATACAAAGTGAGGTGAGATGAGGCTAAGGAAAGAAAAATGGTTGTTTCTTATTGTGTAGGGATGGACAAGGGTTGTTTTTTATTGTGTAATTTACGATAAAAAAAAATAAAATTCGATTAATGAATTTACTAAAATACTCTTAATAAATCTCTTTTTTATGCTATTTTATTATTGACATTTTAATAATATTTTAATACTAAAATTGCACCTTTAAAATGCAGTTCAACCTAAAAAATATGAATTTCAATTATAAACCACCTTTACAAAAAGGCAAAATATCCACAAGAGATATTGAGACCTAAAACCTATTATGATTCATATTTTAAGTTCAAATCCTCAGTATAAAGTTAATTGTTGAAAGATATATTCATATGATTGTATGATCTGCAAAAAAAATCATACAGCACAACCTCAGTTCTCCAATTCAAAACTTGATAGTGACTCATCCCAAACCAGTCATCAAATTGAAAGGATAATATCAGCTAAAGTGGTATCTCGAACATACACTAAAAAACAACTGCAAGAAACAAATAATACAAGAGTTTGTATTTTTGGAAAGGTTCCACGACATAAATTGGAATTATGTCGCTCAAAATAACATTTTAATCAAAATTTTGAATAATAGCGGGTCTTGTGATGTGACAAGCACAAATGGAGAGTTTTAATACTGTTCATTAAAATTGTCCTTTGTCATTTTTTGTTTTCTTTCAAAATTTGAACACTATTAAATTAAAGAGATTAATATCGTCTCGACTTTTAAGAAAATTAAAGTTATAACTTAATTTAGAAATTAAAAATTTTAATTTTAATTTTTAAAATTTAATTAGTTTTTAAATTTAAATATTAATATTTAATAGGATAAATTTTTAAAATTTAAATTAAGTTTAAATTAAATAAAACAAAATAATTTAATGTTAAAAATCTAATTATTTTTGGAATCAGGATTAATATGTAATTTTTTTCTAAATTTAAATAAAAATTTAAATAACTAATTTTTATTTAATTTATTAATTTTAAAATTTTATATCGGCAATACTATAATTACAATATTATTTAGAATTATAAACTTTCAATCATAATGTAACATTAATTGAATGTAATGTATTATTAAATGAGTAAATATATATAATATTATATATAGACCTAAGTTTAAAGAATTAATTACTCCCTCTATTTACTTTTAATGATCCTAATTTAATTTTTTGATTTTTCAAATATAAATTTCAAATAAAAATTTAACAATTGATATGTTTGCTCATATTAGTCGTTAAATTTTTATTTAAAATTCATATTTAAAAAGTTAAAAATTAAATTAAGATTATTAAAAATGAATAAAAAGAATATATAACAACACATTATATTATAAATTTATAACTATGTTATTTTCAAATTTATTCTTTACAAATCATCAATTTTACTTTTTAATTTTAACTTTTAATAATTAATTTCGATAGTTTAAATTTTGACAATCAAAATAAAAATGGACAACAACAGCAACATAATAAATAGGCCGTTAATATGATTCATTATGTAATGTGTAAAATAAGAAAATCAATCAACAAAATTTGAACAAAAATTCGAATATGATTGATGAAATTTTTAATATTTAAATTTACTTTTTCCAAAAAAATAATTGTACTTGTTTGAATTTAAAAATTTTGGGGGTTTAGTTGGGAGTGTGTTCTTTCCGTTTAATAAACGGACGAACCGCCCCCCCATCCCATCCAGCCAATCAGGACCTTCCATGTCACGGGTAAAGGCGTTCCTCACACTTATGCAACGAGGGTAGTTCAGTAATTAACTGAAATTGGCAATACACCCAAGCCCTCCACGTGGCCGCCTGTGATAGCGAGACGCTGTCGTGTTTTAGTCGTCAGCGTCCAAAATCGAACAGGTGCTCCCATAATTTCGGCTGCTATACACCCAGATTGAAACACGTAGAATTAGTCGCGCATCTGTCTGCCAGGTGTGCACCGACTCTTGTCATGTCACTCTGCTACAGTCATAGCTGATTTTCCCCTGCATTAATGGCTGATTCAGCATTATCGGCGGGTTAAGGCCATCTATCGTCCCCCTACTATCCAAAATAGTGCATTCTAAACCTTCTACTATGAATTGGCTTCATATCGTCCCTCTACAATGTAAAAGCATGCACTTGTCGTCCTTCCGTCCAATTAAGCTAATGGTCCTGTTTATTGACCGTTAAGTGCAAACGGTCACACTTGGTTAGGCCCTTTTTTATTTTTTTTTTTGCCACCTTGTCTTGCGGGCCTCACCTCATCTCTCACAAATTTTTTTTACCTTTGCCGAGACTTCCCGCTGCCTCCCCAACGTGGATCCTGCAGGTGGGCGGGAACTCAACCCCATTTTCTATTTATTTTGCTTCCAAAAATTCTCAAGTTTCTATATCTTTCGTACAATTTTTAACTTTTACAGTCATTTGAGATTTGAGTTTTAGAATCTCTGCACAAGGAAAAGGAAAAGGGACGAAAAGACTAGATCAACAACATCAAAGCAGAGAACGGCTTCAGAGGTATACAATAAAAATGGAATTTTTTATGTTTGTGGTTAATTAATTTAATGAAGGATTTGTGGAGATTAGTAAAATAATCTTAGTTTAGGTTTTTAATTGGGGTTAGTTGACTCAATTTTCTGATAATTTGTGTTAATTCTTTAGGCATTTTCTGTAATGGGAACCATGCAAGTGGGAATGTATCTACACATCAGGGGCAAATTTGTTAAAGATCCATATTTGAGGTATGCTGGAGGTACCTTTCAGAGTATGTGGTTTGACTATGGTAACATAGATGTTGCTGGATTTAGAGCTAAACTACAAGGCTTAAATATTGACATTGATGGAATGAGTGATTTTGTTTGGTATAAGCACCCAAGGAAGAAACTTGAAAATGGACTTGTTTTAATAGTGTCTGATGAATTGGTTCATGACATGTTCCAACTACTTTTTGAACATGGATATATGGATGTCTATGTGGAACATGAGGCAGAGGTATTAAAACAATTAGGCAAATCTGGGCCCCACAATGGTAGTGGGGCATCTTCAGTAAATGTTGTTGTGGGGGCTTCTGAGGTGGTGGGAGGTTATGTTGTAAATTTGCATAAATCAGAGCCTTTTTTAAATGATGAAGAAGTCCTTGGTTGTCTCACTCAAGATAGCCTCATATCAGGAGAACAAGCCATTACTACTGTAAGAGAACAAACCAATACTACAACAACAAGCTCAAACCAAATAGTGCAGGAGGCAGAACTTAGTGGTGATGAGTTCATAAATGTTCCTTGGCTAACTGATAACGAGGATGAAGAATGGCAAGAGGCAAGGAAACAAAATAGGCTGTTAAGGTCTCAATTTGGTGGTAGGTTTGAAGGGGAAGAAGAAACAGCATTGTTGTTATTTGACCCAACACAAGATGTTGCTGAAGGACATAGTGATTCCACTGATTCAGATGACAATGTTAGCTTTGTCACTACCAGTGATGATAGTGAGGCTGATGAAGCTAGAAGGAGGAGGTCACAACACAAGATCTTTGATGACACTTTCCTCATTCTAGAATTTGAAATTGGTATGATTTTTGCAAGCACCCAACAATTTAAGGATGCTATTCTTACACTATCAATTTACACAAGAAGAGAAACTGTTTTGATAAAAAATGATAGAAGGAGGGTTCGGGTTGCATGTGTGGATAAAAGGTGTGATTGGACTCTTTTATTGTCAGTAGATTCTAGAACGAGGAGTTGGATGATAAAAACATATAAGGACGAGCATACTTGCGGTTTTAGTTGGAGAAACAAGAGAGTTAAAGCTACAACAGTGGCTAGGCATTTTATTAAAACCAGGAGTTATTCTGCATTGACTCTTTCTCATCCCAATATCCAGCAAGGTATGCATGAAGAACTGCATCTTGAGATTGCTATTAGTCAAGCTCGGAGAGCAAAGCAACTCATTATTAAGGAGTTTCAAGGTGATTGCAAGAAGGAATATAGTAAGTTATTTGATTATAGACGAGAAATATTGACAAGAAATCCAACAAGCACAGTTGAGATTTATGAGGAAAGGCCTACACCTGATTCGAATCCTGTTTTCATAAGGTTTTATATATGTTTTGCTGCTTTGAGAGAAGGTTTTTTAACTGGGTGCAGACCTATTATTGGTCTTGATGGAGCTTTCCTCAAAGGTCCAACTAAGGGACAATTACTATCAGTAGTAGCTAAAGATCCAAATAACCAAATGTATTCAGTTGCTTGGGCTATAGTAGAATGTGAAAGAACAGACAGTTGGACATGGTTCCTAAAACTTTTGGGGACTGACTTGATGATAGGTGATGGAGAAAACTTCACATTTTTGTCTAATCAGCAAAAAGTATGTGATTCTATTTTGTTTTTCCATCAATTTTATTTTTTCTATAATTTTTTGTTCCACAAAAAATTTATTTCTTGTTTTTTAATTTGGAAATAGGGTCTAATTAATGCAATCCAAAGCTTATTCCCTAGAGCTGCACATAGGAGATGTGCTAGGCATATATATGCAAATTTTAGGAAGCAGTACAAGGGTAAGCAGTTAAAAAAGTGGTTCTGGATAACTGCTAAATCAACTACTGTTGTAGAATTCAGGAGAAATATGGAAGAAATTAATAAGTTGAACCCTACAGCAAAAGAGTATCTCATGCAATATGATCCAAAGTATTGGTGCAAGGCATTCCTTGATACTCATTGCAAATGTGATGCTGTTGATAACAATATGAATGAGACCTTCAATGGATTTATTCTTGATGCAAGGCAAAAGGTTGCTATGTCTTTGCTAGAGGACTTAAGGTGGAAGTGCTAAAAAAGAATCATAGCAAAACAGGCCTTTGTAGACAAAAGTTTTGTTGGAGAATTTGGTCCAAAAATTTGGGAGAAGATTGAGGAGCATAAGGCTGCAATGTCTAGGTGCTATATGTTATCTAGAGCCCTTGTGGAATATGAGATCAAAGAAAGAAATGACTCATTTGTGGTTAATGTTCGTGACCATACATGCACCTGTAAGGTATGGCAACTCAATGGCATTCCTTGTAGACATGCCATGCTTGCCATCCAACATAGAGAGGAAAACTTTGAAGACTATGTGCACCCTTGCTATAGAAGACAAGCATACATTAACACATACAAGCATTGCATAATTCCTCTAGATGGCATGGAAAGATGGGAAGAAACCGACATGCCTGCACTTGATCCACCAGTGGAAAGGAAGACGACGGGCAGACCTAAAAAGAAAAGGCATCCTGAAGATTGGGAAATTTCTAATGGATCTAACATTAGTAGAAAGGGTAGGATCATGATCTGTCGAGTATGCTTCAAACAAGGCCATAATTCCAGAACTTGTCCATCCAAAAAGCCAAAAAAATGTAAGTGTAATCTCATTTAGATAATATAAATTTGCTTAAGATTATTTGTTTCCTAACAGTTTTAGATAACTAAAGTTGAGTTTTTTCATTTCAAGAACAGGTTGAAGAGTCATCCTCCACTCAAGCAAGAGTTGCTGGAGGTGTTGAAATGCAACTTCAACAAGTTGCTAGAGGTGTTCAACTGGAAATGCAACCAGAAAAGGAACTACTTGCTGCTAATGTTCAACTGCAACTTCATGCAGAAAATCAGCTACTTGCTGCTGATGTTCAACCAGAAAATCAACTACTTGCTGCTGATGTGCAAGATCAAACTGGTAATCTCAGTTCAAATTTAATGGGAAGTCAACAAGCCAAAAAAGGAAGGAAAAAAGATGCCAACAATTCTGTCCAGTGTCCACCTGAGCTACCACAAGAGTTCAAACGAAAATGTCAACACAAAAGAAAGGCAAAACCCATAATTAAAGAACTAGTTGTTGAATTTGGGGGTGGCGCAATTAATATTGAAGTCAATGAAGGTACAAGTCATGGTTGATGAGAACCCTAAAGAGAACAATGAGACCCACAGCACGACAAGGGATTTCTAAACTCTAGGAAAGCTAAATCAGGTTTATAATAGGACCTTGACCCATTGTTTATGTCGCAACAAGAACCAAAGGTAAAAACCTTGACCCATTGTCTATGACGCAACAAGAACCAGAGGTATAAAGTTGGTTGACACCACACCCTCGAGCGATTAAGAACAAGAATGATAAGTCAAGTTAGAACGCCACAAGAATAATCTTGATAAGTTCTATAAAGTTCTGAAACGAACCAAAGAGAAAAGTCTCTCAAAAACTCAGATTCAATAGCCTCCCTCCCCATTAGGGTTACAAGCCTTTTAAATAGAGAAAACAAATCCTAATAAGAATAGGAAACTAACACCCTAAGTCCTAAACCTAATAACCACGAATTGGGTTTCAAATAAGTGAATGTTCAGCCCAAAAATAGTATAAAAAATGTGAAATCACTAAAATAACCTAAAATAACACAAAATATCAGTTTGCTACAAATTGCGGCAGAATTGTGCGATTTTGACGCAAACTATGTAATTTTGTGCAAATGACCACAACTAAACTTCTCTTGAACCTAAATGATGTTTACCATGCCTTGATAATCATCCAAGCTTCGATTTGCTTGTTGTATGTTGTTATCAACCCATATCTGCTCAATAAGGCCATTTACAACTTCTCGCATCTTCTTAGCTCTAGCTCTTGTGACTGGACCTCCTGAAATATGTAATGGATCTCTTGACGTGGTACCTGTGGGGTCATCTTGATTCCCATCATTGGGGTCATCTTGATTCCCATCATTGGGGTCATCTTGATTCCCATCAATGGTCATCAAGTGCATGTGCATGGTAAGGGGAAAGCTGTCCATGGCAACAAGGGGAAAGTTGTCCAAACCACCAAAAAGGTGATTTCTCATTTTAAATTATGTTCATCATAACATAAGTTTTCATTTTTTATATTTATATTGCTACTTTAATATCGATAATTTAATTTTAGGTGAAAAAAAGTCGTAAGAAAATGACCACATTTGAAGGATATGGGGCCTATTTCAACGTAGAGACTGGATTGTGTATTTTAGATGTAAGCTTTTAATCTTGTTACAAATTAATTCATTTTGTTGTTATATTTCTTTGATGTGGTACTAAGTCTTTTCATTTCTATGTATTTTCATTTTTGTGCTCTTTTTTCTATTGTTCATTAGCTTGGATAGAAAAGTAGAAGAATCTTCTCAGTCCCAAGGAAAAAACCAAAAGTTTCTGCAAAGGCTTCTGTGGAGTCTACTGTTCACACAACTGTTCATGCCCCTGCTCATGCCACTGTTCATGCCCCTGTTCATGCCCCTGCTCATGCCACTGTTCATGCCCCTGTTCATGCCACTACTCACGCCCCTGCTTCAAATTTGCATGAGTTCTTCAATATTGAAAGTGTCTCAATCCACAATGCAATGAGGAACTCTCAACCCCAACCCCAACTACAATATGAAAATGAGTCTTCCTCCTCTAGGCATCAACAAGGATCCAAACAGAGAGAGATTGTTACATATCAACAATTAGAGGTAATTTAATTAGTTGATAATATCAAAATTTCATATATTTAATCTTATTCATGGCATAGGATTTTTTTATTTTGGACCATACTTGTTGGTAGGCACAGAGGTTTGTAAGACTCAGGGCAATGGAGCAACGTAGATTGGATGAAATGGAGTTGGCAAATTGGAGTGCTCTAATTCAAGCTATGGGTTCTATTGATGATGGAAATAATTGTCCTTAAAGTATTTTAGGGTGTATTTTGGTTGTTATAACCAGTTACAAAAGTGCTAGTCAAGCCATATTTCTGGATTTTCGTGGAACTTAATCATAGGCAAGTAGTATGTATTAAGGCAGAAACTTGGCTCTTTTTTTTTTTGACAGACTGTCACGCCCCAGAACCCAAATCTGGAGACACGACAGATGCCGTGCACTCGTGAGACGGGTCCCACGAATGCACAAGGCTCAAAACTTATCCAATTCATAATCTGATACCATCAAAATCTGAAGATCAAATTTTATAATTTGCTCTAATATCATAAATCTCCAAATACACTTTAACTTACAAAATCACATTTATTTCTAAAATCTATATCAATCTCGAAATGGCTAGCCTTCTAACTCGTCACTCCCCTTGGTTTCCCCATCCTCGGTATCGCTTCCTGAAATGGTGGACAAGGAAAACTATGAGATAACTCAGTAAGTAAATATGGATAGCCCTTGGGTAAAACTTTTAGCATGCCAGATAAACCACGTAAGTATAATAGAACTTTCATTGATAAACCGTTAATACGGAAATCAAATTCGGTTCAATAGCAAAACGTTCAATGACAAAACCGTCAATGCAAAATCAGATTCAGTTCAATAACAAAACGTTTCCTGACAAACCGTTAATGCAGAAGAAAACTAGTTCAGTAGTCTCATCTATAAGTCATGGCCAGTGTTATAACAACCCACTAGCAGGCGACAGAAATTACTAGTGTTTAACCCCCACTAGTAGGGTTACAGGAACGAATCGGTTCTATCAATAACATATCGACATGAGCCGACATGTGCTAGCGTTTAAGCCCCACTAGCAGGATCATCAATAACATATCGACATGAGCCGACATGTGCTA